AGAATTAAGAGAAAGAAAGAATAAAGAAAAGAAAGAAGAAAATTTTCTGTGCATTGTTTGTAAAAAATTCAAACCTCTCTATCGTTTTCTTTTTCTTTTCTTTACTTCAAGCTCTTCTGATTCAACGCCTTTTTCAGGCAGTTTAGTGTTACAAAGAAGACAGAAAAACGTATGTGTTCACGTCTTAATAATAAATATAAGATATTTTTTTTCTTTTCTTTTTTCTTTCATAAATATTTCTATTTTCTATGTAAAAACTATTCCAACATTTTGTTTTCTTTTCTATTCGTCCTTTAATGCTTATATATCTAAGTGTTCGTATTTGTATTAAGTAAATTGATTAATTGTTTGATTAGTAAAGAGAAAAAATGCATAAAAAGAGAAGAAAACATATTTTCTTTACAAAATATGCCTACACATTACTTCATACTTCACACAACATGTGCAAAACAACGAAAACCTATTTATCTAGTTTTCACTAGTACATATAACAATTTAAAAAATAGAAAAAGAAAAAGAAAAAAAAGACAACAACAAATAAGTGATTCCATAAAAAAATAAAAATTACTTTTTATAAAACAACCTGATGGCTACTCCTCCGAAGCATTTTGTACTTGAAAAAGCAAAAATGAAACAAATCTCTGAAAGAAATAAAAGTTCGACTATTTTGCTATGCACTTAAAATGAAAGAACGAATTGTACGAAATGAATCGTAAAGTCTTTTCGAAGATGAGAACTTTCATTGTGAAGTAGCAACGCATATATATTAATAGTATGAGAAAGAAAATTGATGATTACAAAACTAATCATATTTCATGAGTATTCATCAAAAACACGTTGACGTAGTTATATATAATTAAATTTTGCAATATATTGACATTATTGAATTGTTAACCAATATAAGAAATATTATATAGAAATTATTCATATTTTATAAACCGTTTGGTAATTTTTTTTTTTTTTATTGTCCAACATCATATCGAATAAAACCATTATATATTTCTGTCTAGAGAGTCTTCGAAATCATTCCATAGAGTTTTTCTCTAGTTTAATTATGGTATATCCTATTATATTATCAATCGAATTGACTGATTGTAATCGAATAATATTCATAAGTTTCATAATTATATGGTTTCCTATCTAAGCATACTAAATGTACTTGGACATTGCTTGTCTAAAATAATTAAATTCATCTTCAAGTATGAACTATCGTTCATAATATATGCGCATCTGTTTTATAATGTTCATAAAATAGACATCAAATGTATACACGCTAGAAGAGAGAATTAGAAATATAATAATTGATCTTTCAGAAAAAATTCATGTTAATTTGTCAGTACATTTTTTTTTATTCTAGAATAATATATTATTTATAATACAAAGATCTCCATCATTTTCATGCAAATTTTCTTAGAAAGTAATTTAAAATAAAAAGAACAATCGATTTTTTTTCTTTATAACAACGTGACTTAAAGTCGTGAAATTGCTGATAGACTTAAACTAGAAGAAAATCCTATTTAGATTAACGAGGTCAGAACAAAAGCAACAAAGAAAACGTCTGACAGCAAATAGAAGAATTATCTCCAGACATTTTTTAAAGTATAGCTTGTCAAGCATAATTCATTCAGCAAAAAGAAAACATATTTGATTAAACAAAAAGAAATTTTTCCAATTACGTGACTTAATCTTTCATATCAAACTAATCTATATATATTAATATTTTGGTTGCAAAAAGAAAAAGATAAAGATCTGGAATTAAAATAGAAAAAGATTTCTCAACAACAAAAAATAAAAACAACAAATAAATATATCTGTCATCAATTACATGAACTATACTATGCAAATCACTGGAGACAAAAGAAAAAAGATGATTGAATATTTAATATTTATCAATCGATTGAGCAATGATTATATGAAAATCATTATTCAAATGATGATTAAAACAAAAGTTTGACTCTCTTTTGTTTTGAAATCTTTTTAATAATTCATATTTCGCACAACATTTATTTTTGAATAAAGATTATTTTTGTTTTTTACAAAACATAAACAACAACAACAACAATAAAATAAAACTAAAACATCAAAAGCTACAATATTTAAAGTGATATTTCGTCTTCTTTTGTCCGTCGACTACAAACACTTGAACGTGTTTTAAAACTTGATCGATGACTATATGAACTAAGTGTTCCATGTCCACCACCTAAACTAGTTTGACGCATATTAACCGGTATATCAAATTCATTTGTTTCTAAATGCTTATATAATCCTTCAAATGGCACACTTTCTTGTGAATTACTTAAATGAATTCGTTGACTTTCATTATTATTTGTAGCTGTTGACATTCCTTGTTCCATAATAACATGACTACGTTGATATCTCAATAAATATTTTAATGCACATCGAAAACGATAATTTGTACAAATAAAAATAAAGCATTTATATGAATAAAGAGATAATTCAAATGCTAAACCAACTGTTTGCATATGTGCATGAGCTTTGACAAGAACTTCATTTGATGATGAATATTCATCAATATTATTTGATGCAAATAAAACAATTAAACGTAAAAGTTTACATGGTATTGATAAAAATACAAATACAATTCCAAGTGAAAATGCCGCATTATATGTTCGAAGATAATCAGCTATTGGAGAATCATAACGAAGTGAAATATTTTCTGTTTCAGAATAATGTGAATGTAATTCATTCCAGATATGTGCACCTTTACGAAATAATAATATTGATAAAATACATATTATCACTGTTGCTAATAATAAACCAAGACCTGTATAGAAAAAGACATTGAGAATAACGGCTGTTGAATAAATAGATGCATGTAAATCAACCATATCTGCATTCATTAAACAATGACGATGAAATGTTTCATTTGTTGTTGAATTATGTATGAAAGAAAGTGGTTCATTGTATGACATTGATTCAATTGGTGGTACATTGAAAAGAGTGAATATGAATAATAAAACACAACTAAATTTAAATAAAATATTCAATTTCTTTTTTTTTGATAGATATTTTGAAACAAGTAATTGCATACATACGGAAAGTTTATTTATAAATTAAACTAATTATATTTATTAAATTATGAGAACGGAAAATAAAGTTCCCGATTATTAGTGCATTATTCTTACTCACGGAAAAAAAAAATATTGATCATTTGAAGAATACTCTCATAAAATTTTGCCCAAAAAACATAAACTTATTGAACTTTGACATACATATAAAATCCTCCAGTCGATTGATAAATAGTTTATATAGAAGGATACAAAATACAGTTGATGATCAACTTCTGATTTCAACAGTTTACAAAACTTGCTTTTTTTTTCTTGAATTATATTAAATATTAGTGTTCGTTTCAGACAATGATAGTGAGGGTTCTTTTTTGGATCAATGATAAAATCGAAAGATTCAAAATAGAATTTCTAAAAAAAAATCATCTACTTACACAGCATATTTAGCATTGACAATAGCAATAAATCGATAAAATTTTGAATATACAAGAAATAATCGATTAAGAAGAAGTAAAATAATTAACCAATGTGACATTAATGTTGATACTCGTATAATATATGTCAATAATTTGCAACAAACTGTTGATATATTTATTAAACCAGTCATTATATCATTTTCATTTTCTGGTAATGCTTTATAACGTATTATTGAATTCATTAAATGATATGTCAATATAATTAAATCAAAACAAGATATTTCAACGAGAAAATTCTCAAACGTACGTTTTTCTCCTCCTGATGAATGTCGTAAAATATATCCATTACCAACTAACATAATGCTATTTCCAAATAATCCAATCATAAAGAAAAATATTGTAATTAAAAGTGAACGATATTCAGTAATATTAATATTTTCATCGGAACCAAATGGTGCATGATCATCATGATCAAATGTCCAGTTATTAGACATTATTTGTCAAAAAAAAGATTGTTTTCACTTAATATATAATTGCGATATAAAAAAGACTTACAAGATGCGAAAATGATTGTTAGTCGGATACATGTGCTAGATTAATAATTGCATTTAGTGTTGTCATTTCAGTCGACATGCAACAAGAATCAAGTCGTCGTCTTTCTCTTTTTCTCCATTTTTTTTTGTTGTTTTTTGTTCTTGTAAAGCTTATATGATGATAAATAGCTCACTGATTTGATTATTATGATCGAACAAGCTGTGGAATTGAAGATTTTTGAATAAATAGTCAAATGTAGTTCGGAGACGATGTCGATTTTGATTATAAATTTCGCGAATCCCTTTCTTTTCTTCTTCTTCCTTGTCTCCTTTTTTTTTTTTTTATTTTCTTTCCTCGTTTTTTTTTTATTCATTAGTTTTATATAGATATAGAAAACAATCCGTGTTATTGTTGTTGTTATTATTATCGTTATTATTATAACTACTTCTACTTTCACTCGGTGACCATCAAATTTGATGTTCTATTTCGAACCTATATGCAGTAGTATGTCGTGACCGGATGAAAAGTAATAAAACACAATATCCGTTTGGATCTTCTTAGATTCAAAGAATAATAAATAGGAAGAGTATTGAGAGCGTGTTGCATTGTTGATGAGAGAAAAGTGTTCTTTTATTTTATTTTTTTCTCATCGACGTTTTTTGTTCTTGTCAATAGCCAATTAATTCATTCCCATAATACATTCACAAACATATTTTATTTGTTAGTGATCAATATCATTGTCAAATACATATATCTTTCAATCAAATCTATCTCAGTTTGACTAGTATTTGTTATGCTTATTGATAGAGAAGAGACAAGAGAATCATAGCTAATGTATGTCATGCATTGATTCCAGCTATAGCATCATTCTATGAATACATAATAAGATGTATAGTCCTTTTCCTTTTTATTGTCGTGATGTTATTATTATTGTCATTTGAATACCAAAAACACAAAATATATAGAATGAATAAAAGAAAAAAAAGATAGATGGAAAAAGAAAACTACATAAAAAATATGTCTTTTAAACAGTGGGATAGCTAGCAGCTGTAGCAATACCACATTGATTGCGTTTGTTACGGCTCATTTTGATGTAACCGCTATCACCCCAACCTTCACCCCAGCTAGAATTAATAATTTAAAAGATAAAATAAATGGAATGCTTAATGAAAAAAAGAACATCTATGATAATTACCTATTTTTAACGAGCCAATAAGCTTTGCTAGAGTCTGTACCATAGCCTACAGCAAGGACACCATGGTCAAGACGAACTTGTGAGCAGAATGGTTCGTTGTAAACTAAATTAAACAGTTTGCATGAATAAAAGACTCAAAAAAAAAAAGAAATGAAACATGAAAAATACATACCACCGTGTTTGTATAATTGAAATGATGTATGACTAGCATCGATAGCAACTGAAATTGGACCAACATTAGCAACAGCTTCTTGAAGAGCACTTTCATCTTTTGATTTAATATCAGTGAAGCCAGTATCAGTAGCACCAACACTTGCTGATTTGAATCGGCATTGATTATCAATAGCTTCATATGGATATGAATCTTCGGTATCGATACCATCATTTTCTTTGATGTATTCGAAAGCTTGATCCATTAAACCACCATTACAACCCATATTACCTTGTTTGCCTGAGCAATCGACTAAGTTTTGTTCTGAAAGTGAAACAAGTGTACTGGTAGCTTTGAAGTGTTGACCTTCAAGAGCACCGGTTGCTGAAAAAGCCCAACATGAACCACATTGACCTTGATCTTTTACACCAGTAACATAACCTTTATCACGCCAATCTAAAAAATAAAAATAATAAAATTATCAATTTCTATGAGTATTTCTACGTACCGACGGTGTCTGGTAATTTAACATCTGGATGACGTGTGAATACTGTACGACCTGGACGTTGACCACTCATCGTAACATTGAAACCGTTCATCATTTTGACAAATTCAGTGATGGTCTATTTTTAATATAAAAGAAAATTTGTATAAATATCTTTAGAATTATAAATGCATTAAAATTTTACCATATCAGCATATTTGTTCATTCCAAGCCAATATGTATGGACACCAAGATCAGCTTGAAGATTGTGATCTCGTACTACTTTTAAATTGCTTTCCCATATAGCTCGACTATTAAAAAAAACAACATAGATTTTATTAATAATTCATAAATGAAATCTATAGATTGAAATCAATATTTCATACCGAACATGTTCTTCAGCATCGGAATAACGTTTATTATTCGTTTCTTTCCATAATTTCCAATGTTGATTAAGTGTAACATCGAGAGCTAATGTACAGCTCAAAGCAAGTGCAAGAATAGCAAGAGTCGAAATCGATTGCATCTGTAACAACAATGTAAAAAAACTAAATTGTTATCATTTAAAATTGAAACCTTGATTTTTATCTCAACACTAACTTACCTTCGTTTGTGATATAATAGAAGACAATGCTTTCTGATAGCCAAGTCTGACAAACTTTTATACCTTGGCTTTATCTTGTTTCACGTGTTTTAATATCATCATTTTCCCATGGTAGAACGCTTTGTCATTATTCTCATGCATAGTTCTAGGTTAAGTTTTTTGTGTCACATATTGACTCAGCAAAAAAGAAAACCAATGTATACGAAACACCATCATCAACGTGAAGGCACATTTTTTTATTTGCACCCCAAAAAAAAAGAAAAAATCTAGAATCACTCTGTTACACACATAGAATTATTTCAAGATTCAAGGACATTTTCGAATGTATATGCACTTGTTGCATTAGTCTGTCCCGTACTATTCAATGGCTCCATCGGTGATCTTTTACTTCCGCCGTTACCATCTAACATGCGTTCCATTTGCCGAATTGTATGTTCATTTTTAATCATTTTATCTTGTAATTGATGGCGTTCATAACCCAAATTTGTTAAAACAGAATCTTTTTCAATTAATAATTCTTTAATACGTTGATTTTCAGCAAGTGTATTAGCATGCATTTTACGTAATTGTGTTAATTGATCAGTTAAACCCATTAAAGCATCTTGCATTTTCATAGCTTCTTCATTTTTCATGAATGCATCAACAGATTTCAATTTTTCAAGTTCAAGTGCTAAACGTTTTTGTTTTGTATTTACAGAAACCAGTTGTTTAGCAAGAAGATCATTCTCCTTACGATATCCATTCTATAAATAAAAAGAAGCGTATTTTTTTTTTAATCATTATTGACTCTTATATCTCATTTTCTTTTTTAACATACAACATATTCAAGTAATTGTTTATTTTCACTATTTAAATGATCACATTGTTTACTTTGGCCATGTAATTGTTCCATAGCAGTTTTATTTTGTATCTGAAGTTCTTTTAATTTTTGTATTAATAATGCTAATTTATTCTTACTATCCGTATCTAATGCATCACGTTCAGTTTTAACTAATGTAAAACGTTCTTGTAACATAGCAGCATTTGCTTCTGAACTGAAATGAGATTGAATACAAAAGGATAATATTCATTCTTTCTTGTTTTTTCTTACCGTCTTAAATCCACTTGTAAGTTATTTGTTCGACCGTTTAAAAATTCAACTTTTTCTTCCGCGGCCTTTTTTCCAGCAGCTAGTTCATTTACTTTACCATTCAATCGTGCTGTTTCTTTTTCAAGTGAATCACGTGCATAAACAGCTTTAGTTAATTCTTCTTTAAGCAATGCAGCATCTCGCATAGACTTTTCTAAATTTTGTTTAGCTATATAATATTTTTCTTTTAGTAATTCAAGTTCATTTATTAATGCTTGATTTTGTCCTTTTAAGTCTTCATTATTACGTGTTAATGTATCAATCATTAAACGCATTTCACGATCTGCTGTTTTAAAACTATGTAAAGAAAAATATGATAAAAATAAAGAAAAATATTTTCCAACTTTTGTTTCTTTTGTTTTTTTTTTACCGCTCTTCCATACGACGATAATCTTCAACAATTTTTCTTGTTGTTTCATATTCACGTGCTAAACGATCTAATTCTGTTTTTAATGTTTGATTATCTTGTTCAAGTCGTTGATATTTCGATCGTATTTCACCAAGACGATTACGTGCCAAATACATTAATTTATCATGTTTATCTTGTAATTTACCCAATTCAATACCTAATGCACCGTTTTCTTCCATTAAACGTTCATTTTGAAACCATAAATCATAATTTTCAGCTTTAAGTTGTACTGCTTTTGATATAGGTTGTTTACTCAATATATTAATTCCAGAATTTCGATTAATAACATCTTGACTCACTTTTGGATTTGTTACACGATATTCAAGATCAGCAAATGGATCTGATCGTTCATCTATATTCGTTGCCATGTAATAGTGATAACCTAAATAAAGTATAAATCAATCTTAGTTAAAACCTTAAGAGAAAAAGTAATCAGTATAAAAACATACATTTCTCCATTTGATTTTCATGTTACTTTTATAGAAATGAAAGAGATTTTGAACTACTAACTGTTTTATACCATAATGAAAACAGAAGGGATTCTCTGTCATTTATTAAAAAAAACGTATCAAATCAACTATTGAGTCTCTAATCATTCAATTCGGTTACCTGCGTGTGTTCCTCTTGTCTTGTCGTTTGCACACCACCAAACAAAATATAATTTAAAAAGCAAATTTCTCGATTTTTTTTCTCACTCAAACACACACACACACACACACTCTCTCTCTCCCTTTTTCCTCTTTTTCTTGTGTATGACAACTACAGTAAAAGTAAAGAAGACAAAGAATGAATGGCTGCTTAGTTGCTGTAACATTCAAACAAATCTTAAAAAAAGAAAAATTGAAACGGCTTCATTGACGAGAAAAAGAGAAAAAAAAATGAAAGGGTGTCGATGGTAGCCAAAAACAAAAAACAAAATAAGCTAATATTAAAATGATTTTTCTTCAAGTTAAGTGGTATATTTCATCATGTGACATCAACAGAATCAATAATGAAATTTCAAAATTTAAATTTATATATGATCAGACATTGAGACGAAAAAAAAAGAAAAGAAAACGAAATTTGAGTAGAAAGAAAATAGTTCACGAGTGAATACGAAGAGATAGCGTTTATTAATCAAGGTAATTTGCATTATAGAAAGAGAACAATTATGGAAGAATGCATAAACGTTTAGTAAAAAAAATATGATTATAATTTATAAACGATATGTTAAAGGAGACAGGAAGTTTAAAACCAGCACATATTATAATGACATATATTTCCTTGAAAATAATGAAACTCAAGTTTATTTTTCTTCGCTTGATTACTATAGCATCAATAAGTAATATAATTCTTCATTTGTTTTCAGTATGAATGAAGACAACGAATTAAATTTTGATTGTCGCATGCAAAAATAAAAAAAAAGAACGCTGCAAACTACTAAAATTTTAGTGCTTCGAACAAAAGAACATAGGTTAAGAGCTTTTAATCAATTTTATAATGTGAATTTGAACTTTTTTTAAATACGAATAGAGAAGATGTCTTTTTGTTGTTCTTCTATTGGAGAAAAACATCTGATTTGCTTTGTCTATGAAAGCCTCGTCTTTTTTTATAAGATGTAAAATTATTTCTTTTTTTGTTGTGACGAGATTGTTCGTTTACTGCTACTTTGCTTATCGAAGCCGCTTTTTTTCCCGAAAATTCGTTTCTATTAATAGAAATACGAAATACATTTTAGTGATATGGTATTATACAAAAGATGAATGAAATTAATTTTGTATTTTTGAGAGTGTAGCCAATAGTATTTCTTGAACCTCACCCTCATGTCATGTTTAACTTCGTATCATGTTAGAAAGCATTTGGGAACTCAGATTTTTTCAATGAATTTCACGTTTAGTGTAGACTTCGCTCTGTTTGATGATCATTGCCTTTTTTTTTGACCACATTGATCTTTTTTCAGAGAAATGTCAAAAATAGAATAATTTAATATTTGTTATGCATAGCAAATCAGCTTGACTTTCATATAGGCAACGTTTTATCCAAATTTTCTCTTCCAGAAGAGCGATTCAAAATTTCGGGAAGGCAAACGCCTATTTTTTGGGAATACAGACACATAGTACATGGCACACTAATCACAAATTTCTGGAGAGTCAACTTGATCTTCGGAGGAGCGCTGGTTCTTAGCTGTCATGCTGAATAAAACACTGCCTATATGGCCGACCTAATTATTTCTGCTTAATGAACTTTACAAAAGAGTAGATCAATCTCGATCAAGAAAAATCTTTCGTTCATATTTAATCAAGCTTACGAATATTCTGATCATGACAGTTGGTCAATAGTTAGATAACATTTTTTTGTAATCTTGGTGAATTTCTTTTAGACAAACAACCTAGAATTACTAATGTTGTTCTTGAGTTCTTGATTTATATTCTGTGCATTATTGTTTTACCGGATGTCGTATCTAGAAGATAACTATTGATAAACAAAATGATTATTTTTCTTTTTCAATTGGATATAGGCTAAACTTTGTCACTGCCATAGTTCCATGACAAAATAGAAATGCAAATTGTATTCTAGTAGAACAAAAAACCTGAACAATTTTTTATGTGTTTCACATACAGAATGTTCTATTAATGTTGGTTCTCAATAAAAATTATTTTTATATGCAAACAAAGAACGATTTCTAATTGAGCCTACCTAACACAATCTTAGAACAGTCTAACCCATACTTTCAATGGTATGCTATTGACTGGTACTTATCCTTTTTTATAATAACAATATCATCATGAAAGTGTAACCATCGAATTTTTGAAATTGATTAACAAGATTTTCTAAGAATTTTTACATAAAAAATTGGTTTGAAATCAACTAATAACTAGTTTTTTTTTTCTTCGTTTATTTGTCATTTAGCATGAGCCGCTGATTATATGATTATTCAACGTACATGTTAAATAAACAATTTAAAATCAACAAAAACGAAAAACAGTCCTGTACAATGAAAAATTCTAATTCCTGACATAGGATTTTATTTTTGTTCTACTCTTCTTACGCTTATATTATTGACCTGTTTATTCAAAATTTACATGAATCAATCATGTAATCAGTGACTTATGATACATCAGCACTCCTCATTAGCTTATATAATGTTATGATTTAATGTCAAACGTATTCATCATATTATTTTAATAAGTTTCAAAACAAACTATATTTTGCGTTGAATTGCGAAAATTTGATCATTAGATTCTCATGATGATATTGCTACTATTATAAAGGAAAGTACTAAACATTAATATATCATGGAGAGTATATATTCAAGTATCTCAAAGTTTATGAAACACCTTTTTATTCATTTATCTATGTAATCATTAATGTCTTTTTGATTTTTGTTTTCTTGTCTGTGTCTTACTAAAATTTAGTATTAAATAGAAAGAATTCTAGAGCTTTTTTTACTTCATATAGCTTTAAAAATATTAGATAGGACATTTATTGCAAATGAATGAATAAGTTATATGATTCATAAGTACAGATTTTTATTTCTACATTTTTAGTAATGTCATATTTTATTCATAATGATTATTATATAAAAAGTTAAATAGAAACCAAAAAAAAAAAGAACATTTTGAAAATGATGAAAAAAAAAAATTGTTTTTACATGATTAGAACGTTATTCAATCTTACTAAAGGCAAGTTTAAAATACGATAACGTTCTTCGTATACATGTCCGCAATATATTTTGAGTTATACTATTTTGTAAAATATACTATAATAACTACCAGTTATTTATACGAATTGTCAAGTTTATTTTGACAAAGTTTCACATAACGATGGTCGATATAATTTATCAAACAGTTGCATTGTCTGATGTAACAATTCATTTTAAGAGATGCACACATGTTATTCTTCAAACATTTTCAAGTTGTTCGTCAACAAGCGAGCTCTGCAATGTCAAACTGTTTGATTTCAAAACTCAACTTCGAGGAACTCTTCAATTTTTTTTTGACTAGTATATGTACTTCTTTTACTTCTACTTGTTAATGAGAATGTCTCTCTGATGTTTTTTTTCTCTTGAAACCCATTCATGAATCTATACAGTAGTGTTTTTTTTCTATTTATTAATTAACAAATAAAGAATAAACTTGTTACTATGTAGGGAGTAAAGCAATTTGACTGTTTTGCTGATTAAACTCCGATATGGACTCAGAAAAAATTTATTTTAGAGATCCCAACTCCGATGGAGTCGGATTTCGGAGTTCGATGCAGGATTCTATTCAACAGTAAGATTACATTACACAGATGTAGTTGTTGGTTACTAAAACAAATATCTTTTTTTATTCTCGTTCAATTTTCAAATGTGAAAGTTAACAGATATTTATCTTTATACATATATATGTGAAGCTATAGAAACAACTGGATTTTAACATAATTACTAAAATTTAAATTTGATACGTTGATAGCATTGAATAAATGTAAGTAATAGTCGATTATAAGAATAGATCTCTACTCAAATAAATTTTGTTTACTCGCTCTGTAATACTGAGATTAAAAATGAATAACGCATTTTTGATAATGTTTTCCTAAAGATGAACTAAATAATTTTAGTTCATCGATAATATCATGCATAAAAAAAGATTGACCAAACGTTATGTAAACTTGCGTTTATATTATCATTAAAATATTTAATCGAAAAAAAAGGTTACTATTACAATTAAGTTTATTTTTATTTAATCTACAACAATCATAGCCTTCAAAGGAAAACAATCGAATGAAAATACTTATGAAAAAAAACCAATCACATCTATGAACTAATACAATCTGCTTGTTGATTTTCATTAGTTGGTTTTTCATTTTCTTGATTAGAAAATTCTTGATAATCATATACACGAATAAATTGTTTCGTTGAATATGTTTCATCAAGTTCTAATGTTAATTGTGCAAATTGTATTAATTCAATTAATTTTTCATTGATATCAGGTATTGTTTGTAAATTATCTGCTAATTCCATGAGTTCTTTATCAGTAATATGTTTAGCTAATAATTTTTTTTGACCTATTTGTAAAAGTGAAATAAAAAAATCTAATTTTTCTCCATTATCAAAACCATTTCCTTTCCAAAAAGCTTTATCATTTGAAATTTGTCGTTCATTTATTATTTGTAAAGCATGATCACGTTGTTTTTCAATTTCATTTATAACATGTTGAACATAATTTTCTATACGCTGTCGTATATTATCATATTCTTGTGACATTTTATCCAATTCTAAACGTTTTTTATTTATTAAATTAATATGTGTTTCAAGTAAATCTAATTGTAATTTACTTTCACGATGAACATCTAATAAATGTGTACGTCGACATGTTTCACAAAGCATAAAATAACAATGTTTACATATTTTTAACATATTAGGTAAACAACATGTATGACAACGTGCTTGATAGATTCGATTTGATTGAGTTTGTTGTTCTTGTTGTTGATTAGAATTTAATGTTGATGTATCTAATGCTTCACAAAGTTGATTAAGTATAGGATTAATAATTAATATTGATTCAAAATGTTCATATGAATGAAAATTAAATTGATATTTACAATATGGACAAAGAATAAAGTAAATTGGTGTTGTTGTATTCATATTATTATTTTGAGCATAATCAAGTAAACATGAACGACAAAATGAATGTGCACATGGAAGACAACATGGAGATGACATACGAGAAAGACATATACCACATATTAGAAGTTCATTAAGAAAATCATCTTTTACTTTTGGTGATGATGATAATGATTCAGATAGATTTTCTGTAGCATTTGATGGTGTATAGTTAGAAGCCATGAGAAATTAATCTGAAAAAATGAATATCGAGAGCCACAAATATTCATTACAGGAATTTTTTCCAGTTCTTTTAAATACCTATTTGAGACATAAGAACATAAAAACTTTCCCATCAAACAGATCTTTTTCAAGAAACGAAAGAATATTTTCAAACTGATATCATTTTCACTTACGCAAGCGTCTCTTTCCCTTTTCTCTTTCTCTCTGGTTCTGAAGTAGTCAATGACAAACGTAAAATAACAACAAATCGGTATCAAATAGGTTTCTTCTGTTAATCATCATCATCATTATCATCATTCACAACGGCACGATACATGATATTGATGACCATAGTAATCCGACGATGAAGAAAAAATGTATATTCTTGTACTACTTTATTGAATGTTGTTGTTGCTGTTGTCTTCTATTATATTGGTACAAAAAAAATGATATGTGTTATATATAAACTCGGAAGTCAATCAGTTCATTTTATAGGACAAAAAAAAGACGTGGCAAATACAGTGCTGATAATAAAGTCAAAAAATTCTATTCTTTTTTTACGTCGACACACAAAAACAAAACACTAAAGATATAAGGAACAAAAAAAGAGCAAAAGAAACGCATAATGAGTGTAAAATTCTTTCTCTAAAATAACTAATGTGCGAGCTTTATGTGAGCTATCTCACTCACTGTGTTTGTTTTCGACTAAGTGGATGATCTTCACCTTTCATTAACTTGTACATTAATTGACCCATTTTAGCCGGAGAATCACTAACATTAACTTTGGCATCTTTTAATGCTTCAATTTTACTTTCAGCACCACCTGATTTACCGCTAATAATGGCACCAGCATGACCCATACGACGACCAGGTGGAGCTGTTTGTCCGGCAATAAAAGCAACAACAGGTTTTGATTTTGAACCAATATTAACATGTTTGAGATATTCAGCAGCAGCTTCTTCAGCATTACCACCAATTTCACCAATAAGTATAATACCGGCTGTTGCTGGATCTTTTAAGAATAAGTCAAGACAATCAATAAAATCTGTACCATTAAATGGATCACCACCAATACCAACACATAATGATTGGCCAAGACCGACTTGACTTGTTTGATGTACAGCTTCATATGTTAATGTACCACTACGTGAAACAATACCTATTGGACCAGGTCGATGTATATGACCGGGCATAATTCCAATTTTACATTGACCAGGAGCTAAATATTGAAATTATGAGTAAAAGTTATTTGAAAAATAATATTACACCTAGGCTTCGTAGACCTCTTATATTTTTGATGATTCTCCTATAATAACCTCTGTTTTAGACATTTGTTCAATAATTCCTATATACTCCAAAAAGATTAAGAGTTCTAATAGTGTGTTATTATTTATGACCATTAAATCTAATATTCGTCTTTCCCAACGTATAAATTGCAAGGCAGTAAACTTTGCATTATGATTGTCTTAACAATTGACAAGCAAAATATATTTTTTCAAATACAAGCTGCATGTTTCGAGACTTGAAAGTTATAAAAACGTTATTCGAATCTTAGCAAATGGTTCCATTCGCTGAACCATGACCTCCATAAAAGTGAATTTTTTGCAGACTTAATTATTTTCGAGATAGAGCAGAAGATAGTGGAAAACATAGACACTAATGTCATTTTAATTGTTTATATCTCATATTACAACTATGAAAGGACAGCTGATGCTACCTGTTACTAGCATTAATGATTAAACGATCAATACATTATAATTTTTGTAAAAAAAAAAAGCGTTGACAGTGATTAAAAGATGTATCATAGTAGTTGCGTTTGCTAGATCTATCATATATAATATTAATGTTTCCAAACATCTAATTTGCAATGTATGATAACAAAGCAAACGATCATAATAATGAGTTGTTGTCATGAGATTTTCCTTTTTCAATTGTATAATTGAAACATCACCGTGCATTAAGCGAGATTTATTAAAAATTCAACAACTGAAAATTGAGAGTGCTTACATCGATTGAAAAAGATATTTTTCTTTATCACTATTGTTCATATATACATGTATGTTAATTTAAAAAGCTCTTAGGTACATTGCATAACAACGAGAAACAGAGACAATTCAACTCGGCGAACCGACCAATAACCAAATATTTTCCTTTTTTATTTGGTTTTCTATAGTTGGTTTCATACATGAGTCAGTAACCTTCTGTCAATGAATGGAACAGAAGCTATCACTTAATTTTGACTTGCACTCATATGGTATTTAGCTTGTAATCTGAGATGCAGATTTTAAAGGGTATCCCATCAGTTCTGGACCTCAACGAAAATTAATTTATATCGAAACAAAGAATGATCCCTGCTCAGCTATATCTATATGAACTTCACACACTTAAGATGATGTTTCAAATGGCATATTATTCGGGAATATTATCTCTTTTATTAATACTAATATAAACAGAAAAAACAAGATAATTAAAATCTCGAAAACAATCAGTATTTTTTACAAGGAGTGTGGGTGTGGGTGTGACTATCATCTGTACCTACAATCGCATCCTAATTATAACTTGTTTGTTTATATCACTATTATTAAAAGAGAAAATGTCATCGGATAATATACCATTTAAAACATCGTCCTAAGTTCTCTAAGCCTATATAGATATAGTTGGGTAGAGATTACTCTCTGTTTAGATATAAACTAACTTTTTTAGGTTCAAAACTAATCGGACACTCTTTATGTATGATTTTACGTGTCACTGTAGTTTTTTCTAAAATCCTTTAAAAATAGTTATTTTTCTAAAAAAAGTGTTTGTCATATATTTTTCTATATATTCGCAAAGGAACCCCCCTCGAAGCCTAATTACACTTACCAATGACACCTGGACAATTTGGTCCAACAAGACGAGATTTATTTTGACGTACAAGTTGATGTTTAACTCTAACCATATCATGTTGTGGAATACCTTCTGTAATACATACAATTAAACCAATGCCAGCGTCAACAGCTTCAAGAATAGCTTCAGCAGCGCCTGGAGGTGGTACATAAATAACTGTTGCTGTTGCACCAGTTTCTTTCATAGCTTCATGAACTGTTTTGAATACTGGTAAACCTAAATGTTTAGTACCAGCTTTTTTTGGAGTAACACCACCAACTAATTTTGTTCCATAATCAAGTGCTTGTTGTGAATGAAATGTACCTTGTTTACCGGTAAACCCTTGGCAAATTACACGTGTTTCATTATTAATATATAAATTTTTTCGTGTTGAGTCATAAAGTGATTTATCATAAGTTGTATTAGTATTCTGTTGTTGACTTGAACTAAGTACAGCGCTTGTTTGAATAAAACGACATGTTGATGTCGAAATTAAGGATGAGAAAAGACGTTTTGACAACATATCAACAATAGAATATTGATCTACAATAATATAAGAAAATATGCAAGGTTAAATTATTTGATTTTATAAAAAAACAGAAAAATAAAGGCTTGATTATTTAAAACAATTTAATTTAAATTTGTTTTCGTCCTCCTGCTGTTGCATATTGAGATTTTTCATCTGTTAATGGAACATACATAACAGCCATATGTCTTTGTTCATGATATGTTCCATCTGCTTTTTTATCATATGTTATCATTTCTTGATTAAAATACTTTCCAATAGGTGCAACAAGTCGTCCACCAACTTTTAATTGACGAATAAGTTCATGTGGTGTATCAGATATTGCTGCACCAACATGAATTGCATCGTAAGGTGCTTCAATAGAATAACCTTGTCGGCCATCACCTTTATGAATTTCTAAAAGACCTTCATTGAATAATTTTTTATTATGTTTATTAATATTTCTAATTGATTTATCAACAAGTTCTTGAATATGTTCAATACCAATAGCTTTACCATTTGGACGAACTAAATGAGCCATACATGCTGTTAAATATCCTGAACCAGAACCAATATCAAGAACTTTAGCTCCTTAAAAATCAATACGAAAAATTAAATAAAGCCTATACACAACAACAAATACCAGGTCGAAGTTTATCCTTAAGAATCTCTAATGCAAAGCCATGCATATGTGGTGCACTAATAATAACAATAATAATAATAATAATAGTTTACATTTTTAGTGCAATAGAAACATTTTACCTGATTGTTACCTGGAAGTTTAAATCAGAAAAAAATTCGACTATGTTTTGTGTTGAATGTACGCATACTTACAGAATAGCCGACTAGATAAGAAGACAAAAGAAGATAGTGTTAAAATATTAAAGAAATATTTTTTTAATTACTTGATTGGGGTCGATCATTGTAAGCGTCAGATTTTTTATCTGTAAAATCAGCTCGATCAACTTCTAGCATCGCATATTTGATGCGTATATCTTGGATTACACCGTTTCTGTACAAGTTTTCAATTAATTCTTGATGTGTTGAACCTGATGAACTCCAAGTTAAATGTTCACTTAATGCTGTTAATGATGATGAACGATAGAAGATAATAAAAATAGCAATCGCAAATGGAAAAATAGATGAATAAAGTACACGTGAAAACATAAATAATAATGATGTATCTAGAAGAAATCATATAATTAGAATTAAGATAATACAAAACTAATAAATAAATACATTTTAGCAATAAGAACATCTATTTTCAATATACATATGTAATAACTTTTTTAAAGATTCGTTTATAATTAGATGTTTATTATTTCAATTGTTCTCAATGACTTTGCAATCAAACGAAAATAAAAACAATGTTTTATACTTCAAAATTCATTCATAATCTGACAATTGTAAATGATGAAACTAGCTGAAAAACAAAGTTCTCTCTACCTTCAAATATTCTCTTAGTTACCATAACTTGATAACAACATTAGATATTCATATTGATATTATATTGAATAATGATCTGATAATTCATAATATTTTCACGAAGTTTGGCTCAGTTTTTTTTTACATGAATACTCGACTGAATATAACTGTTCATTAAATGAAAATTGTAGAACGATTATTCATTTATAAATATATATGCACTATTTCAAAAATAAAATCAAAGTCTTTACCAGCATTTTTTATTTCCATTTTGATCAAACTCTTGATTTTAACAATTTTTTTTGTTTGATTATTTGTTTTCATGTTATTTTATCCTCTTCGTAGAAATGAACCATTCAGAAAGAAGTTGATATTATAGTACCATCTATCGATTGGTATTTTTTTTCATTAATCATGATTCATGTCAATATACTTCTCCAGCAAAACACGAAAAAACTATAAACAAATATTTTTTTTTTCTTATTAAAACAAGACCGTTTTTTCATTTTGAGTGATTCTATTTTAGATTAAATTTTCTCGTAAAAAAAATTAAGAACAATGACACGAGTTAAATGTTCACAACTTCGTGGTAAAAAACCAGGTAAATACTACTATTTATATAAACATATGTATTTTTTAATTTAAAAATAAAATAAAACAAAACAAAATTTCTTTTTTTAGAGGAACTTCAAAAACAATTAGATGATTTACGTCAAGAATTAAATACATTACGTGTTGGAAAAGTAACAGGCAGTGGTGGTGCACAAAAATTGGGTAAAATTCGTAATGTACGAAAATCGATTGCACGTGTACTTATTGTTCGAAATCAAACAACAAAATACAATTTGAGAAAATTATATCATGGAAAAAAATATAAACCAAAAGATTTACGTCCACGTAAAACACGTGCTATCCGACGTTTATTAACACCAAAAGAAAAATCCGTGAAATTAGAGAAAATTCAACGACGACAATGGGCTTTTCCACAACGTACATATGCTGTTAAAGCATAAAGAATAAAAAAAAAAACAAAAAAATGTTCTTGTTTGTTTTTTTTTTTGTTTTTTTATATATTCGTTATGAAATAACTAAAACGAATAAAATAATAAGAAGAATAAGAAGAAGATAAAAAAGTCACATTTATATATGTGGTTTTAGATATGCCAAAAAAGAAACAAGTTACTTTTCAGAATAGTATTCAAGGAAAATTTATTCCAAGAAATACTCCACCACCCGGATCAGGTTTAGTGATTCTATTTCAATCATCATATATTTCTATTTCTTTTTCTCAATACATAGTTTTTCCTTCGAGAGTTAATGATAATCGATTTAATGCAAAAATGGCTGAATTACTTGCTTCATCATCAACAATTAATGATGAAAATGAACTTGTTTCAACAAAATCTTCTCAAGATGATTCAACATCAAATGAAATACTATCAATAAATTCATCACGTATTCAGTCGAAATTATTTCATCGACGCATTGTTACTATGCTAGAAACATTAAAAAAATCTAATGATAATTCTTCTATATCACCCGTAAGATCATCAAATACTGAATATAAATCTCAACCAATTACGTTTGGTCAATTAAGACAAGCAACGATATCATCTGTTTCTACACAAATCATCGATGAGAAATCAATTTCTCATCAAATAAAAAAAGATACGGAAGAAAACCATGATGAAACTTTAATATCATTTGTAAAAGATAATAATCCAAATTTGATTTCAACAAAATCAAAATCTTCTACAAAAGGTGAAATAAATAAAGAACAATTGTATTATTCAACTTCACTTAAACAATTATTAGAACAACAAAATGTTGTTACAGAAACAAAAGATGATAACCAACAAATACAAAAATCAACATTAACTGTTGATGAAATTCTTGCTATGTATTATTCTAAAGTAAAACAATCGACAAATATAGAGTCTAATTTGTTACCGTCGTCGTCGACTTATTCTAATACGCATGTTACAAATTTTCATATACTTCCATCTGTACCAAAATGGAATTCTTCTGAAAACAATCAACATATCATTCCACCTCCTCAATTGGTATTAAATAAACAAAACAGAAATCGACCACCGCCACCTTCCTATTCATCTAGTATAACTAATACACATCGAACAACTTCAAATAGTATGCAAATCATTTAATACATAAAAATGAGTGTATTTCATTAGTATAGTGACGGACAAAAGTTTAGCGAAGTTGTATTTTTGAATTTTCTTCTTGATGGTAACAGTTAAGAAGAATTCAGAAAACAAAAAACACATTTGAGTAGCTGAAAGGGTTCTCTATCAAGATTTCTGGATCTAGATACTCAAATAAAACTACTTGGATGAGGATGTCTGGAAAACCAAGGCCTTCAAAACCATGCTTCTAGCATTCATTTGAAGCTTTTTGGAAATGGTTTGATTTGAAAGAGCAAACAATTTTGAACAAAATGAGATATTTCGGTTCTCTTCGTGATCTTTTTTTTCATCAGACCGCATTCAATTTAGAGAAGATTCAAGTTTGTTTTTATGCGAATTTTCAATGATTTTGTCGCGTTTGACGCTTTGAGATCTTTTATAAATTGAACGCAGCTCAATGAAGGAAGATCACGAAGAGATTCGAAACATTGAATTTTTCTCAGAATTATTTACTCTATCAAACAAAGTCATTTCTAAAAAACTTCAAATGGATGCCAAAAAAAAAACGCCTCTTTTTTAGGTCTTAGTTTTCTAGCAGAGCTGGGCATTTCCATGGAAACAATTCAATTTGGGACCCCTAAGACTGACCACGTAATTCACAAATTACGTGGACAGTTGTAGGGGTCCCAAATTGAATTGTTTCCATGGAAATGCCCAGTTCTGTTTTCTAGACATCTTCATCCAAGTCGTGTTAGTGGAGGTTATAGATCCATGAATTACGATATAAAATCCTTCTAGCTAAACAAAGTATTCATAGATATGACTGTTCATGAGTATGTAAGGTGTATATAATACAAAATTAAAATGAATGTTATTTTTTTATTGATTTCTATGAAGATCTGGCTATGAATATATATATATGTATATTGTTTTATTTTAATTAGATGATTTTTTCGAGGTAAAAGCTTCCAAAACTGATAAGACCACAGATATGAGCAAAGGCATTTTTTTATCAAAACAATTCTCAAGTTTTTACAATCTTTCTTCTAATTCAACAACAAAAACTGAGTTCAAATTTTTTTTTCTGACATTTGAAATAGATAAACGTAAGAGAACCATTATAAATATATATGGGATTGTAGCATCTGTTGTTTAGGTACTTTTGTAAACCTATCTAGGCGTTTTTTTTTTGACAGAAAACAATACCAAATATTTTACCTCAAGGTGCATTAGTCGGTTTCGAGATATGAAAGAAAACATTCTTTTTTGTCAGATTTTATTTTATCAGAATTTCAAAAGAAAAATGCTGAGGAGAAATGCAAGTATTGTTTCCGTGGAAAGATGGTTTTGGTAAAATATATGTAGTCCAACGTAAGTTTTCACGCTGATTCTGAATATGCTATTTATTTTTTTTTTCAAATCAATTTTGATAATAGAAACTACAATAAGCAAGGTTCTTTTACTACTAAAACAATGAAATGCTCGATTTTTCTCGAGAATAAAAAACATTAGATACTTTTGAAGCTCGAAACCTACTGATTCAATGGAGATAAGACATTTGAACTTATCTTTTGTCATAAAATAGCAAGATAAGTTGACAAAAATACCTATAAACTCATGCAATATTCCTACATATATTGATAGTGGTTTTTTACATTTTTATTTTAAATCTAAGAACATTATTTTTTTTCTACTCAGTTTTTAATGCCAAATTAGAAAAAAACTATTTTCAAAGATTTACAAAAAAAGATTACAGAAACTCAAGAGTTATTTTGGAGAACAGAGTGAATTTAGTTATATCTATGGTCGTCTTATCAGTATTCAGAGTTTCTTTTTTTGCATCAAAGAAGTAACCTTATTAAAATAAAGTCCACTTCAACTCTACCTTGTGTCCATCTTACTACAGTAATCTCAATTAGATATGTACAGAGTAAGCTTTTTTTCATCTCACGTATGCTGACTGGGAAAAATTCTCTAACTCTTACCCTAGACTACCTTGCATATCTGTAGTCTTAATAAAATTTCAACGAATAAGATTACTTATTCACAGTTTTTAAAAATATAATGGTTCTTTCTTATTACATTAGTGACTAATCCAGTTCAACGTCTCATTCATCCACCTGTTTCATCATCTTCATTTGAACATTTTTATTCTGGCTCATCAATATCTCAACATCTATTAAGAGGAAACTCGTCCTTTATTCTTTCAAATTCTTCTACTTCACATGCTCCAATTATGAAAAATGCAATAAGTAATAATTCTATTCGTCTTCCACCTCCACGTTATCAATCACCACCATCAAATGTCGAACGTTCTCATTCAACATCTAGTCAACAATCAAAAACTGTTAATAATTCATCAGTAGTTTTTGATCATGAATTTTCTCGTTTACTTTATGGTAAAGATACGGGAAAAACTCGACGTCAAAAACAAAAACGTAAAGCTTTTAGTGATCCTGTTAAGTAAGAAAAAAATACAATAAATATAAATCCAAATAAGAAAAATCAATATATTATTATTTTTTGATTAGAAAAAGTATTGAAGAAGCTAGTCGATCTTTGGAAAAAACTCATCGTCGAATAACACCGAATTTAAATAAAACTCATCAAGTTAAAGAAGAAGAAGAAGGAGAAAATGATGCTGAAATCGAAACTAAAACTGATCGAAAGGATATTCATAAACAAGAACTCAATTTTCCTTCACAACGACGTTCTCAACGAAAATCCAAGTAAATAAAAATCAAATCAATATATATATTTTTTATTTTTAATCGATTTAATTTATTATTTTTTTTGTCATATTTAGTCTGAGTGAAAACAATCTCATACCAGCAAATTCATTACTAAAACAACGAATTCCATCATTTTTACGTGTCTATTCTCAAGCATCACCATCAAATGATATTCTTCTTCAATGGCATTTATTTAATTTATCTGAGCTTGAATCATTTAATACAATGATGAGTAGATTATATAAAAATGAAAATTTAGCTCGAGTACAACTGTATGAAATATATCGAACAGCATTACTGTCAATGCTTGCATCAAAAAAATCTTTAAATACTAATAGTGATAATGATGCTAATACTACAATAGTTTCGTAAATTATATTTTTCTTGTTTTATTTTTTATGCTAAAATCTTTTCCAATATTTAAATTTTGTATTAAAATAATTTTAAGTTTTAGATCAAAAACGAAAAAGAAAAACACCAATGACTCTTATTGAAAAAATTTTAAATGAAAATTCTCATGTTCATATTCATGATGATAAACGTGCTTATGTTGAAGAAACAATTCAGTCATTGATAAATGATGGACGGAAAATGTTACATGTTGTCGCAGATTTTGATTTTACATTAACAATTTATGAAAAAAATGGAGTTATTTTACCATCAACATTTGGTGTTATTGAATCCAATGATCGAGTTAAAGTAAGAATAAAATTATGTAAACATTTTTTTTTCTTATTGAATATCATTTTTGTATCCTAATTGACATGCAGTTATTTATATTAGTTCTTGGTCTTATTATAACAAATTATCGAAAAGTAATCGTGACAAAATGTTCGTTCATTTTTTCATTTTTCATAAAGGAGCTTGCAAAAAATTGATTATGAATCGGAATTTTGTTTTCATACCAGAGATGTCCATCGCGGCTCAAAATCTGCCGCGGCCAAAATCAAACAAAGCTGCCGCGCCGCTCCCGCGACACGATGGCCTGTTACAAAAAAGCTACCGCGCCGCTGCCGCGATGGTATTCGAAAAAATGTTTTGATTTTCAAGGCTGTGACTGGTTTGAACTAGAACTAATGCCGCTAATCGATCAGATTCGTTAAGTCTTACAGTATAGCATACATGAACATACAGATTCTGTGCAAATTCATAAATTTTTGAAATTTTTCCTAAAAAAGCTGCCGCCACCGCCACGGCGGCAACGCCGCGATGGACATCTCTGGTTCATATCGAATATGATTTCAAAAGTTTTGTAGAAGTTCTAATTTAAGAGTTATGAGCTCATCTTTTCGTGACCTTTACATTGAGTATTGTAGAGCTTCGTGCACCAAAACCTTCTCAAAGTAACAGCGAAAATTCTTACAAATATAGCGAACAGAAGAGCACACATTTCTCTACAAAATGATATATTAATGATTAGCTTTTCTGCAAGTCATTTGTTAACGACGAGTGTTTTAGCACGAGATACTGTGTCAATATAGGCAATCTTTTTTTATTTATATGAAAAACAAACTTGGAAAGTGAACTCGACCATTTCTGAATAGTTGTTCTGAAACTCTTGATTCTCATATGTCACTTTGTAGAGAACAATCTTGTCTTTAATTGTATGCAAAGAAAACTGCCGATTTTCTATGTCCAAACTTAAGTTTCACGCCTCTAAAAGATCGACGCATAAATTCCGAACCATAAATCCTACAGAAGTTTTAAACCTATATTCGGAAATAATACAAAATCTTGATTCAAACTCAATGTTTACAAATTTCTGCAATCTTCTTTAAGAAGCTGAAAAATAAATATGCATTTTCTCAAACCACACGAAACTTGATTGAGTTTAAATTTTTTTGAATCCATAAGTACCGAGACCGATTATAAATATTCCAATATCATTAATTGTTTTGTTTACTATAGTGTAAAGATTTTTATTATTGTCTATTTCAAGGTCTTATTACTAAAACAACTATATTTGTAGTAAAACTATTAGACGAATGGAATCGATTTCAAAGACATTGTTTACGAAATGAAGTACACATTGAAGAACTTTTACTTCGACATATACGCATTTCATATTAAAACGAATACTAAATGCGAACATGTTGGATTTCGAGTTTTGGCCATTATTAGTATAGACTAATCAACATAGTGTCCAAGATTCATTTATATGTGGCTTTAAGTATTTTGTGAGGTAATATGTAGTGAATGAATGACTGAAATAGAACTGATTGCTTCATTTTCATTTATAATAATCTGTTAAGATTGAATTCTGGGATCATTACACTTAACTAGATTGTGATTGAATCTATTCATTCAACCATAACTGTATGAAGATGAGCTTTGGTTTTTTTAATCGAAACTTGACACTGATGGTTCCCAAGTTAGTTCTTTATCATAATTAGAGCAAGATCATTTAATTGGTTGAATATTTGTTTTTTATCCATCATTTGGATATTTTCTAAAATGAACAGACTACCAATAAAAAGTTTGTTTGCTCTTCTTATATTCAAATTTTTCTTGATGCTTTCACTCATGTTTATTTTATTGAAAAATGATCAAAACTTTAAAAAAAAATATTTATTTAGTTGCCCGATGGTTCATTACTTTCTCATAAAGCTGAAAAATTACGATTAAAATATCATCCAATTGAAATGGACGTTCATATGGATGTATCAGAAAAAATACCTTATATGATTGAATGGTGGCGTACAGCACAAAATCTATTTATTGTATCAAATCTAAATAAATCTTCAATGCGTGAACTTGTACATGAATCCACTATGGAATTAAAAAAAGGTGTTCATGAATTTATTATTGAATTATTACATAGTGAAACTCCTATTCTAATATTTTCAGCTGGTTTAGGTAAAAAATAATATTTTATTTACAATGATTTATTCGTGTTTATTTTCTTTTTTTTTTGTATAAAATTTCAGGTGATGTCATAGAACTTTTTCTTGAAAAGGAAATTCCTGATTTTAAACATAATCATGAATCATCACATATTGTTTCAAATTTTATTAATTATGATAATGATGGAAAACTCTTAGCATTCAGTGATAAAGTAATACATTCATTTAATAAAAATGAACATGAAATATCTGATACATCATATTATCAAACAATACTTACACGTCCAAATGTTATTCTTTTAGGTGATTCACTTGGTGATGTTGGAATGATTGGTGGAATGAAAAATTTAAAACAAATACTTAAAATTGGTTATTTAAATCAGAGTACACCAGAAAAATTAGTAGTTTATAAAAATGTTTATGATATTGTTGTATGTGATGATCACACATTCGACGTTCCTAATGCTATATTAAAAGCTATTCAGGAATAAAATTATTTTCTTTTTGATAAAAGGATAATTCTCTTTTTTTTTTTTCTCATAACGAATCTCTTTTATGTGTTTGTTTGTAAGGTTTTCTTTTGTATGGTTAAACTTAGAATCCTCTTAGTTTTTCAGATAAATGAATCATAAAAAAATCAAGAAAGAAGTTTTCATAGATGAAGATGAAGAAATAATTATTGTTAAAAAAACGAAACCATCACTTTTGAAAAAAATGTAACAAAAAAAAATCATTTTTTTTATGAAGTATTTTATCTATTGTTTTAGTTTAGTACGATGGCTTGTTGGTTTGATTTTAATAATTGCTTCATTAATTACATTAGCACCACTTTTATTTCGATTATATGGTGATTTTATTCTAACTAAAATGCTTTTTCAAACTTGGAGTAAAGATTTTTCTTGCTTTTTTCCCTTACTATCTATATTTAATTTTTATTTTCATTAGCTCGTTATTATCCATGGATTGATTTGACTAAGCTAGATTCATTTAGTTTGAATGGAATTAATGTTTATGAAAAAACAGAACCTAATGTTAAAGTTGGACTTTGGTAAGTTAACATTGGTTGATAGGCATAGGTTTCGATTTAGGAAGGGCTGGAATGAGAAAGCTCTTCCTCTCATTTTTACATCACACGTATGAAACTGGGAGACGTCTCTATTTGTAGAAGAAGGTTTACTCTATCCTTCTATAAAGTCTAAACAAAATTATATTTATCCATTCTAGATACTGAAAAATGAGCTCACTGGTTTCTTGAAGTGCCTGTCTTTGGGAACTCATAATAACTTTTATTTCCTTATATTTTTTTTCGAAACAATTTTCTCTATTCTAATAACTGTTTGGATCTCTTGTAGAGCTTACAATAGTGAAAAAGAATTGAAAATAAATCTTTTTCAATAATTTTGGTACCCACTATATATGTCAAATCTGAATGTTGGATTCAATAATTGAAAGTCTCTAATTTACATATTCATTTATTGAATTCAGATTTTCAAACATTTATTGAAACACACACAAAACAATTGTACACTAGTAGTTTATTTATTTTGAAATGTTTGTGAAATTATAGGAAACTAGATTCCAAGACCCGGTTTGCCATCGATTGCAACAGGCATAGTTCACAGCAATTATAGCCGATCGGTCTCAAATTTAGATTGAAGATTTGATTAGTTTAATCGTTTCTTCTGAAACGGATCTTAATTATTTGATCATCATACTTAGATGTTTGTCAGAGGATACAATAGATTATATAATGGTATAATAGTTCTAATAGATCATGGGACTGAATATATAAAAAGATTGCAAGAAAATATGTGTGTAAAAGAGAAGTATGACATAAGTTTTTTGAATTTTATATATTTCACAAAGATGACAACGGATTTATACAGAAAAGTAACATCTTTAGTCTCTATGAAGCACTATAATTATCAAGTTCAGAAGTACTGTTCCCAATATTTGTGTTTAATGAAAGTTATTCAATGTTATCATCTTCTTCTATTTTGATATCAACATTTTCATCTTCTTTTTTGTCGACTTCTCCGTAATTATTTGCATTCTTAATATGATGTATAAGTTTCTTTAAACAAAGGATCATCGTTAATAAAACTGTTCCGGCATCCTTGAGTAAGTACACTATTTTTTTGTGACTATCTCACCGGATATTTATCATATTCAACATTAACACGAGTGAACATTTAGTTAGAGAAGTAATTTTCATTACTTTTATAACTACTTGAATAAGAATAATTATTTAAATCGCTATTGATCTCTGTCTTCTTTCCAACAATTAATTAATTCAACTGTTTTTAATCATAACGTAACTCAATTCATGGTGACACAATTTTATATTACTAATTGTTNTCAAGACGAACTTATAGATTATATTAGTCAACAAGATGCCTACAATCAACGCTACCAATACTAGATTTTTACAATGCTTATTGATCACATGTATCACAAATACCAGCATATGTATTTCAACAGAACTAAATTTTTCATAGAATATTTCTTCTAAGCTACATATAGATGACAGATCAATTAGGAACAGAAGTGTATTATTTTTAAAAATTGAAAATAAAACTAAATACTACTAATAATAATAATAAATGCTTGAAATTATGGGTAAAAATTCCAAATAAAATCTGTTATTTAAATCCAAAATAGAAAATATGAAACATATTCTCATTATGTATAATAAATAAACATTGTTGATGCGATGTCTGATGTGAGGCATTCACGGTGTCCTTCAATAACAAATAGTCAATAATCAGAGGAAAAAAATGATTATCTTATGTGACATATAGTTTGTGTGAAAAGATTATAGAAGGACAAATATTGTAACCAAAATCGTCATTGATCATTATTCGTAATGCAATCTATATTATATTTTACAAGCTTTTTTCAGTTCTTCATGAACTTTCGTATGATTAGTCACAGAACGAAAAAAAAGTATACATCAGTCATATTTTTTTTTATTTTGCTTTCTTTTTCTACGCGCGCAGCAGCAACACATTACCGAACTTTAACTTATTTATTTATTTTTTTACTCTTTGACGACCATCAGTTTGGTCCTTACAGTAAATAAATTAGGAGAAATAGAAAATAGAATTAATGTACAAGAAAAGAAAAAAAAAGAACAAATTACACTTAATTTAAATAACTGCAAGTATTACATATATTACAGTTTGTGTAAGAAAATTGGTTAACTCTAAAGCATCACTTTTGAAATTTTTTTTTAAAATGGCAGATAAACAACAAAAACGAAAAGAATACATAAAAACATATCGTAAAAGAAATTGTAGAAAGGTTATTGTGTTAGGTGATGACTTTCGGCAAGTTCTGCTCGTTATTAGAAAAGGATCTCGATATGCCAAAAATTGATTCAATAATAAAAAGATCTTCTGTTTGGTCTCTTTTTCAAACATTCAAATTAAAACGCAATATGCGAGCTGTCACAGACCCTGATTTTTCTAAATGGTTTTTAGATATCGGTGATGGGATGATACCTTTACCACCAGTACCTAAAACCCAATTTTCAGTTGAAGTTCGGATTTCTTTAACATCTAATGATATAGTTACCGATATTTTTGGTAATAGTTTTACCTGTATTGATATTGAAAACTTTTCCAGATGTTCGATTTTCTGCTCAAGAAATGAAGATGTTTGATTAATTAATGAACGTGTTTTGATAAATTTAAAAAATGTTGAACAAATGAGTTTTTACGCGATTGACTCTATAAAAAATGATGACGGCATAGACGATCATGATTTACAAGTCAACCGGTAGAATTTCTAAATACTTTGAAACCATCTGGATTACCACCGTATAAATTAAATTTAAAAATAGGTTGTATAGTAATGCTTTTTGAGAAATCTATCGGTAAACAAAGGATTATGCAATTGAACTAGAATGATTGTTAGAGCCTTTCGTCAACACGTGCTTCAATTGAAAACTATCACTAGTGCATTTTCTAGAACTGTTCATTTTATTCCTAGAATTTCTCTGGATACATCGAACGATCCAGCACTTCCATTCAATTTCGTTAGACACCAGTTTTCAGTTCGTTTTGCATATGTAATCATAATAAATAAGCCTCAAGGCCAAACTTTTGATAAAGTTGGCCTCTATCTTTCAGAACCTTGCTTTTCTCACGGTTAGTTTTATACAGGATGTTCAAGAGCAATGGAATCTAATTGTTTAAAAATTCAAGTAAAAGACACCACTCGACAAAGCAAAACAGATAATGGGCAAACTGTAATAGAAAATGTTGTGTATCGGGAAATTTTTTCTTGATTTCCATATTTATTTTTGTGAGTTTATAACTTTAGTAATTTTGTTTTACATGTAATAAATCAAATACTAATTCAAACTTTTTATTAAATCAATTTTTCCTATAATCTTAAAGTTTGACTCTTCACAGGGGCCTCTAGTTACAGTATATTTGATAAGCACATATATCGACAGTCATACATTTACTAAAAATATTTTTTTTCTATAGCCATTATATATCTATTATTGTCATCTTCACATATGCATATGATTCATATAATTATACTCTTTATTAGTTTATTGGACTTTATTATACTAAAATGAATGCACAACTATGTCATATAAATGTTATTTATATATACTCATTAAGTATCATAAGACGTTTCAAAAAAATATACTGTTACTGTAATTATTCACTTTTTTATGAATGATTTTGATTAAGATTTTTGTTCGAACATAAAACTTTTCTATTGGTGAATGTAACATGTATATTCACTCATCAAGATATTGATAATTACATTTTATATTTTCAATAACTCCAATATTTCGATATTCATAGGGACTTTTCAAGTCGTGTGACATTTAATAAATGGAATTTGCGTTGATAATAACAAAGCAGTGATAGATCACGTACTGAAATTGATTAATTCTTTTTCTAATTATGCTGAAGTATTTGAACGTGATGATGAAATATACGTGAATAAGTGTGTGTATTCAGCTGTATTCTAATCTTCATATCACTCAATCACAACATACAGGTAATAGAAAAAAAAGAAATCATGCAGTTCGTATTTTTCGTTCTTTTGACCAAGGTCATAGCAGCATATTATCATTTGATAAATTTTTTTTGATGTTATTGTCATTGTGAAATCATGTTGTGCGTTGAAATAATCGTATTGATTTTATTAAAATTTAAGAAAGCAATGCTTTTCGACACTGACAAGATGATGCGTAGTTCTCAATACAGTATGGTCTACAAAAATGTCGATTATCATAGTTCAGTTGCCGACATAGAACATCAATATTCAACATAAATTTCTACAAATTATTTTGATATATTCTTCAAGTAAAACTCATTGAATATTTCACTTCACATCTAGATTAAAATCGACAAAAATATTGAGTTATTGTTAGTTATTTACTACGCATTTGATGATATTGATATTAGAGTTTAGTGTTCATGTATTGAATTTAATGTCAAAGAAAATACAAATATTTGTTGTTGAGTTTCTGAACCATCTCTTGATGGATTTGAAAATTGTTAAAAAAATTCATAAGCAGTTCGATTCATATTAGGACTTCGAATCGGATAGGTTGGGATAGGAAAACCATCCCATGGGACTAGTTGGTTTGTTCCATCCATTCCAATAGATTCCATAGAATAATACGTTCATTATAACGATTTTTCAAGCGTTGGATTAACTTCCATGATATTCTTATTCTATCACCTGCACTTTCTTCTAGATATTCCAGTTTACTTTAGTTAATTTTGTATATTAATTTGTATATCATTCATTAAAATCATATTCGTTTCTTCAAAAGGAAAATTATAGATCTAAGCTATTCAGATGCTGTCGCATCCCAACGAATACAATAGTGAATTCATCATAATCGGTTAAGATCCATTTGAATTTGTTTGATTCGATCAGAATTCAGGATCTGTCATTTCGATTAAAAAGTTTCAATGTCATGCCTCTAAGTATTAAAATGTAATAATACAACTTCTCTGGTGCACTTTTCATGCTTGAAATTTTATCTTCTGATAAGTTTACTTGATTTTTCTAGGCTACTTAGAATTGTTAAAGATCCTTTCACATTTTGATACAATTCCGTGAATTTTTTCAGATCTTTTTTGGGTCTGATCAATGCTTTGATTGTTAAGATTCTGTAGAATCCATTGGGATTTTCTATTGACTGATTCATTTTCTCTAAAATAAAATTCAGAAAAAAAAATACATTGAAAATTAGTCTGAAGCGTAAGTGATAAAGACTCTTTATGATCGTAGCATTTTATCTCACTAATCCATAATTATGCGAGAAGAGTATTGAAAAGTTTACATGAACTTGAAGCATACGGCGCTCCATAAAATTCATGTTCTTTTTCATTTGTTAAACTTCCATAAAAGTATGAAAAGTTTTTAAATGGAAAAATACAAAGAAAAAGGTATGAAACAAAACTATCTCTATCGATAAAAGAGAGTAATGATAACACTATAATAAATTCTATTACCAATCGCACCTATAAAGTAGTTTGAATTCATCTTTCATTAGCTAGATTCTGAAACTATTCATAAGAAAGAAAAGAAGAAAATCCTATGGAACGAGAAATTCATCTCATCCTATTTCACCCCATGGAAGATTTCAAAAACTAATTATCTCATGAAATTGAGTAGGTCGAAATTGTTTCCTCTCATTAAGAATCCTAATTCATATTTTTCACATGATGAGATTATTCTACAATACGATATATTCTTTAGTTATTGATAACTAACAGATTCTTATGAGATTAACAAAATACGCTTGTTTTATCGATATAACCAAGAAGTGCACAAAAGATATTTTATTCATTCGAAAAGGTTCAAAATATCTGAATTATTGTAGCATTTCAGGTTATTGATTTTCTAAATATATTGACTATCGAAATTTGAAGTTCCTAGAAAGAAAACGTGCGCCATTATTTTGGAAATTTTGATAAATTGTTTTGATCTTATTTTTAAGTGATCACTTATTTTGTCTTTAAGAATTATTTAACTGATTTAAATCTTCGAAGAATTGACAAGCAAGAGCAATATTGAGAGACATTTAAATGAACAATGAGACATGCAACAAGACTAAAAGAAGAGCTAATGAACGAGTATTGGTTTGGATTATTACTTTTAATCAATCAATACACATTATTCATTTAAAACAAAGATATAAGTGACAGTCAAAATAATTTCTCTCTTACAACGCAATAAAATAGAAATCTTTATTTATATGAAAGACTTTTTCCACATTGTCACTAGGATTAAAATAAATTGAACAGAACAACAAATAAAAGGTAAAAGAAAATAAACATAGTAATTCCAGTTGTTCTTCGAACAATTATGAAACCTTTCTTAAGAACACCAGGGATGACTCCAGTCTACCAGGCACTAGTAGAAAATTTTATTTTTCATTTTTTCTATGCTCATTGGAGAGTACATCATCTAAAATCATCAAAACAAAATTTTTAGCTCATTTCGATGGTCTATATAATAGATAACCTTTACCAACTTTTCATCATTATCTGTCTGCCTACTACCAAGAAACATTAGGAAATTGTTCTACTGATGTCCGCTGAGATTACACTTCAGCAAATTACAATTTTTTTTTTAGGAAATAAATTGAAGAAAAAAAACATCAACAGCTGGTAAAAATGAGACCTTTAATATGGTCTGTGTCATCTATTTATTGGTACTATAAAAGATATCCCATAAAAATTGACGATAAATTGTCAATGACATTGTCATACTATTTCTTTACGTAGAAGGCTGAAATTTTTATCACAAATATATCTAACAAAAATCTTTAATTTTCCAAAGTTTCAGTGTTCTAGCCAAAAACTAATGATGAAATGCATGGACAAGATTGAAACACATGAATTTTTGCACTTGAATTTTGTAATTTTTTCAATATATAGTCAAAATCGTGACAGAATGACTAAGAACTATTCTAACTATACATGAATCCATTGATATCTAGAATCTTTTACATTTAAATGCAGATTTTATCTTAAACGCCCATCAGTTACAAAAATAGAAAAGGTTTTTAATGCTTTGTATTGAGTTTAGAACGTCACCAAAAACATTAGGTATTTGTTGCATGATACGCAGTACAATTATTTTAAAAACATACAGACTCAGTAGGAAATAATACTCAATTCGATGATGTCTGGAGAGAATAGAAAATGTATGATGCGTACTGAAAGAAAACGTTCGTGTAAAGTATGTATCACACCGTTACAATCAACAAAAGAAGTTACACAAAAGTCTAACAAATTTTCTGTGGTAAAATATGAAAAAAAATGATGCATGAAATACCATTGCAATTACAGCTAGTCATAGTGTTACAATGCATTCTTATAACATATACCTCGATCCTCTCTATTTTCTTCTCTTTGGTCATTTCTTTATTTCGTTTCTGTTACTTCTTTTCTTTGGCCTTGATTAACCTTTGTGTTTTTTTTGTTGTCCTTGTTTTCTCATGTGCGTATAGAAATACTATTTTTCTAAAAGAATAAACAGAGAGAGAAGAAAACACGTCGTTATTGTGTTCATCGCTCTTCCTGAGCGTGAACCCTAACACAGAAAAAAATGAAGGAGATGTTCATACACATTGAGTTTTATTATAATTTACGTTTTTGAAAAACATTGTCTTGTAGAGTTTGTTTCCATCATGAATTTATAAATATCACCAGTCAAAAAATAAAAATGTCAGAAAGAACAAATACGAGAGTTCATATATTTTAATCTTGTTCATGATTTTCAGCAATAATTTTAACCAGAGAGTTAAAACTTTGGAAAATTAAAGATCTTGATTAGATACATATGTTATAGAAGTTATAGTCTTCTATGTAAAGAAAATTATGAAAAAGGTCATTGACAAATTATCGTCAGTTATTATCAGACATCATTTAGGTAGGTAATGATGAAAAGTCAGTATAAGCTACCTATTCTATAAAACATCGAAATGAGCTCAAAATTTTGGTGTAATGATTTCAGATGATGTTTTCTCCAATGAGCAAAAGAAATGAAAAACTTAAGTTTCGATCAGTGCCTCGGTTTCTTCTTTGCCGCTCTGTTATGATAAGATGCGTGCCTCACAAAATTCGAATGAATTTTATAAAAAACCCAGAAAATGAAAGAAAGTCATTTTTATGCAAAAGCCTCTTGTTTTTTCAATTTATGTAGCATTTTCTACGCTAGTCTTACGTTCAGTTTTTGCAATAGTTTTGCTCAACGCTCTGCGTTAAAAACGCACTGTAAGTATACTAGTATTAAATCTAAACGAATTCGAAAAATGTTGTTGATGATAATGACCGTAAATGGTTCTATTCGGATGTTTTAATGCTTTTCTAAGCATATTTAGCTTTTCTGTGGTAATGATGGCATGAAAAATTTTATCTCATTGAATGAATCGTACCACTACTTACAATGGAATCCATCGATTTTTTTTGCATGGCTTGTTTGCTGATATAAGTCGTTTTTAGCAAAGTGGGTACTAAATCAGTCGAAATTCTCCATTTTCATCATCAAAACTAAGCATTTATGTAATAATATTATCAGAGTTGGAATCAGCGTAAGAAACTGAGTCGAGTGACGTATTCTTTTAATACTGTTGACTTCGATATTTTTTTTCGAGTTCTTATTTAAAATGACCGCTGAAATTTTCAGACAAGAAACCAAGGGGAGGAAAAGATTAAAGGTATGCATTATCCCATTCGGTTTTTGATGGTGAGTTTTAAAAAAAATAGTCACAGATGCTGAATAAGACAGTAGAGCAGAAAGTTTCACATTAATTGAAAACAATGAGTTTTGCAAAGTATAACTTGCGTTTTTTTAATTTTGTTTTTAAACTGAAACAACAATTCAGAAAATTTAGCAGCCAGTTTATTTTAATAATCATCTCAAGTTCTATAGCAATTCTATATGAAAAAGACAAAAAATTTCATATGAGTTTCGCATTGCCGGCACCATTTCCTAGTGGTTTTTCGAATTGTCACCGGGTACTTTTCTTTCACTATTCGTCGGAGTACCTTGAGAAGTTAGTTGCGATTGCTGTGCTTTTCTTTCAATCTCTTGGTGTATCATCCGATGTTGTGTATGTATTGGTAAGGCAGGATTCAAACTTAATACGTATGGTAACATGTTCTTCGCCATGTTTTCAAAGTCGACCATCACTTTGATAAACATTGTATCGTCTTTAACATACGGGTTATTAGGATTTTCAAATGTATTAAGTGAAACAAATTTCGGAATTCCACTGGCGATATTCATATCCGAACGTGGTCGTTGAAAACTGTTAGATTTCGTATCAGGACGAAATGAGTCAAAGATATGATTTTGCTGATTAATTTGATCAAATAGACAAAATGTAACTTTATAACTAAAGGGAAATTGAAGTATGAAGTCATTCGGACCACGCATTAAAACGAAAAATAAAGACATATGACTACGACGTGCATTTCCATCTCCATACAAATATAGACGAGCACGCATTTTGTAACCCGTAGGTGATGAGAAAAATGGTGGCGAGTATATAGACACTTGCCGTTCAGATTTTGCATCGGCTGGAAATAAAAAAATTGCTTTTTATATTGATCTTTTCTACGTATAACAATGGAATTTTGTGATACAAAACATTACAGTGTATGGCAGCATAGAGTTCTCTAAAATGCTCTATTACTAAAGTATATTCAGTAAATTTCATTAAAAAACAATTATCCACAATACTTTAATCATGTTAATTATTCCTCATTTCTATTTTCTCTACTTACGATGACGGTTTTTGTATTGTGAGAAAAGAACATGATATATGTTCGGATCAAATTAAAGCTCTCACTATCAAACTAACAAATTTGAAATATGAGCTTTCCATGGCATGTATCAAGTGAGGTTATAGAGTTTTTAGGTATGTACATAGAATGTAAGATATCCACAATACAACATTTTATTAGTATTTATTTTTACTTTACTAATAGTTGGGAAAAGCTCGTCGAATCGCAGAAGATTAAGTTTGTTTCAAACTTATAAACAAGTTTTAAAATATGTTATGCAAGTCAGAATTTTGTGCTTTATTTTCCTTATACTTGAAGGTCAAGGTACCTTGGACATTTTTCGTTAACTTTTAAAAATTTCTTCTTAGGTACGAAGCACATATTTCCTCATGCAACTTCGACAAGCTTTATCCAACCGTCACGAAAATAGAAAAATAAATCCTGTTAAAAAATACACTTGTGAGTATGTTGCACATACTGTAAATCCTTAAAAAATTCATCATCTCGTTTGTTCAACGCCATGGGCAGATCATATTTCAATTTCGCTAGTTAAGCAGTGAGAGCTTTAATTTAACCCGAATATGTCTAATGTTCTTTGGTACTAGTACACAACCTTCCATTGTTAGTCATATTATTCATTGATTGTTCATTAATCAATAAAAGTCATTATGGTCAGGAAAAGAATTTATTGTATTGAAGGAAAAAAAAAGAAAAATTTTAACACTATAATCGATTTTTGAAAAAAAGGCGCTTCACAAAAATGCTTATAACTTTTCAAGAGAATGTGATAGAGATCTGCGGTTTTCACCGTTGGATAGATCTCTGTACGGGACGTGATACTATTGAATAATCAAGCCTTCTGATCAGATTTACTATACAAAGTCTTTGAATGCAAAATGTACAAGATTGTCGTTTCCAAAAGGTATAATGAATTTTGGTTTCCTTGAACAACAATCGATAGCCCCGGTCGAGATCAACAATTCTAGACTAGCCCCAGTTCTGTATCTCTTACGGTTCGAAAGTTATGAGCATTCTTCAGAAAGGTATATATTTCTGTTTATACATAGAATGTATCGAAAAATTTGGTAGTATTTTGAGGTTTTGATTGTCAAAAGGTGTTTTTTATGCAAAGTAAACATGATATTTGAAATCATCGTGAAAAAGTACACCGAAAACTCTAGTTTTTATTGTGAAATATTTTCTACGAAAATGTGACCCTTAGGGGACCACAGCGAAACATTTAAGGAATAAAAAGCTGAGGGGGAGTAGTGGTCAAATTGTGATAGGAAACAGTTTACAATAAAAACTAGAGTTTTCGGTGTGCTTTTTCACGATGATTTCAAATATCATGTTTACTTTGCATAAAAAACACCTTTCGACAATCAAAATCTCAAAATACTACCAAATGTTTGGATAGTTTCTATGTACAAACAGAAATATATACATTTCTGAAGAATGCTCATAACTTTCGAACCGTAAGAGATACAGAACTGGGGCTAGTCTAGAATTGTTGATCTCAACCCGGGCTATCGATTGTTGTTCAAGGAAACCAAAATTCATTATACCTTCTGGAAACGACAATCTTGTACATTTTGCATTCAAAGACTTTGTATAGTAAATCTGATCAGAAAGCTTGATTATTCAATAGTATCACGTCCCGTACAGAGATCTATCCAACGGTGAAAACCGCAGATCTCTATCACATTCTCTTCAAAAGTTATAAGCATTTTTGTGAAGCGCCTTTTTTTCAAAAATCGATAATAGTAACTAATATTCTTACCCATTTTCTGTTGAAACTGAGTGATTTTCCAAATCAATGTTCCATCATAAGAAGTGACTTGTTTGTCTTCATACCTTTGTTTTAAAGAAGATAACTCTTGTTGCAGAATTGTTAAGTTAGTAGTGACTGCGTCCAAAATGTTATTTGTTTCTTCCGTTGATTTTTTTATCGTTGGTAGAATTTTATTGATTGTTTCGAGTGATCTAAGTTTCTCTACCGATTCATTATTCATACGCACAAGATCATCATTCAATGTCTCAATGCCATTTGAGAAAAGATCATTCATTTCGTTATAGTATTCTGGTTCATTGCTATATTCATCTGTTGTTGTTGTCGTAGGAGATGTGGTATTCACTACAGATGAGTCATCGGAAGTTTCCATTTTCATGTAAGTATCAACGATTGCAGATGTTTGGTACCGTTTTGTCAACTGTGAAGAAAGCTGTTCGAAACAGTATAAAAGAGCTGTTTGATGCTCTTTTGTCTGATAATGACCTTGGAGATCACTACGCAGAATCTACAGCAAAGAAATAAAATGAAAAGCGATATGATACATAGAACAAACCTGTTCTTTACACCCATATTGCTGAAGAGGACAATTCACAAGTATTTTGGAACATGAATTCTGTGTATGTCGTTCGAGTAATGGTAAAGAATCGCATATTTCTCCACAATGCGAACATTTATATTGATGATGTAATTGTTCGAGATGATTCTAAATGTAGAGAAAGACTCTCAATACATAATAATAGAAAACACCGACAAGTAATTACCTGATAGTTCTTTAGCTGTCCAAACCATTCGCATGAGATACAGTTGACTTCCAATGCTTGCATGTCTCTATGAAAGCCTTTGTCAAGTCTTACCTTTAACAAAAAAGCGATGTTGAACAATATGACATACAATAATGAATATAAATAAGGATTTTCGATTCACCTCTGAAATTATTGTCTGTTCTTGGCATTCCAAACATAAAACAAAACTTATTACAGAAAAATTTGGATTAAAAATCAAAATCAAAATGATATTCTCTTACTCATTCTGAGGATGAACACAAGTCTGACATATACGATGACCACAATCTAGTTGGACTGGGTTTTTCAGTAGATGCGAACAAACCAAACATATATACTTTCTATCAAATCTATTTTCATGTTGAACAATATATCCACTGCTTAATAAATCACTCTAGAAAGAAAATATGTTTATTTCAACGAAACTTCAGAAAAAAACATACCATTATATAAAAATAAAGAATTAATACTTGTTGGTTTCTGTTTTAGACAATAACTAGAAGCTAAATTAAGGAATGAAGGATCACGACTCTGGGAAAATCTACAAGACATGATACAGACGAATATTTCTTTCACAAATGTTTTTCAAAAAACATGCACAAAAGTAGGCATTTTTTTGAGTGTTTTCATGTTTCATGACATAATTATACATATCATCTTTCATATATGTCAAACTTGAAACTTGAATTCAATTGAAGTTCCAACTTTGAACTTTGAACTTTGAACTTTTGAACTTTGAACTTTGAACTTTTGAACTTTGAACTTTGAACTTTCAAGCCACAAATGGGCAGCACTGTGAAGAATCACCACTAACCCGCATTCTCACACACACGTCATCGCAGCTGGTGAGGGTGCGGCGAAAGGACTGGCCACGAAACGACACATATCACATCGCAGCTGGTGTGGGTGCCGCGAAAGGACTGCCCAGAAAAGGACCGGTCGCGAAACGACTTGAAAGTTGAAACTTGAAACTTGAAACTTGAAATTTCAGTTGAAAGTTGAAGTCTCAGTTGAAAGTTGAAATTTCAATTGAATTCAAGTTTCAAGTTTGACACTACTGGCAGATATGAGGGATAGAGGCAACAGTATTTTGATAAAAATTCCCCAATGATAATATCTATCGAATTCGTCTTTTTATATGTTGCTAGCTGATTTCCAAAACTACAAAATGGTATATTTTTCAAACTCAAAAACATTAGTCACTTGAGATATGCCAAGATAGATTGTTCTCAGAGTACCGGTTGGCACAATGTTGACTAATATTTTGGTCGCTTTTGATCAGATAATCACAATTTGAGTCAGAACTAGTATTATAATCGGAATCAGCATGGAAAACTCAGTGGAGTCATATGTGTTTCAAATACTTTCGAGAATTCCGTTGCCTTTTTGTATGAAAAAACTCATACCTATCCAGTCAGGATTCACCCAAAGTTGATTTCTCTAAGGAACATCGACTGTCTTTTGAAGTACACTAAGCAAACTTCCAAAATATGACTACAAAAAAAAATGGCAGGAAACTAAACAATGCGACTAACATTTTGAGAGAAATCATTTTTTGCTAGAAAAATAGAAAATTCTCAGAAATGTTTCAAACAAGTATGAATTCATTTAGTTTTCCATGTCAATTCCGATCACCATATTAGTTATGACTCATACTGCAATTATCTGACCAAAAATTATTCCACTTTTAGTCAAAAATTTGCAAAATTGTAGTCTCAATATCATATGTCCAGGCATGTCTCAACTGACTTAGACTTTCATGATTTTGAAAAAGGTATATTTTTGTAGCCTTTGAACCCACCTCTCAACTGATGAACAGCAGAACTCGACAGTTGCGGTCATTTTGGAATCATTATCAAAACACTGCTGACTCTATCTTCCATATATGAATAAAGTGGATCCATTATCGTGATGGTGTTAGTGGGGTGTGTGTGGTGTGGATGTGGGTGGGGTGTGGGTGTGCAGGTGTAGGTGTGTGGCTGTTGGTGTGTGCGTGGGTGGGATGTGGGTGGGTATTGTTGTGGGTGTGGGTGTGTGCGGGTATTGATGTAGGTGTGAGTGTGGGTGTGGGTGGGTATGGGTATTGATGTGGGCGTGGGTGTGTGTGGGTGTGGGTGGGTATGGGTATTGATGTGTGCATCC